GGGGGGGGGGGGGGGGGGAGCTATGCCTACTGCTGTCTGTCTGCCTAGTGTTGGTTTTTCAACCTTCGACGAATGTTCTTGTGGACTTGTTTCCTGCGTGCGTGTTTTGGCTCTCGTGAGTTGTACCGTGGGTTTTGGTGATTTGTTTCGTGTTGCTTGTCCCTTCTTGTTTCGTCCCGGTGACATGCAGTAGCTTTTGTCTAGTGGTCTTGCGACTTGTTTTCGCGCATGGACGCATGCCTTTGTGTGATGTAAGAGTGCTGCTTTGCTTTCCGTAGTTTGTCCAGTGAATCCAGAGGAAAATTATCTCTTTTTCAGACGTGATCAGACCAAAGGTACAGCGCTCTTCGCTGTCCCATGCTAAGATTGCATCCACCACGAAGTCGACACCCGACACATATCAACCCATCTCACTTGCTCACGCCAGAAGTTCGACAAGGACGTCCGGAGAGCCAAATCTCAAAAACCAAGCACAGAAATAACGCCAAGCAGCAAGTAGGTGCGCGACACGGGGTGTTCCTGCCCTCGAGCATCCATGTTCACATTCGAAGTCGAGAGGTGAGTTCCGTGCGCTTGCGTGGACCGGTGGTGGCGCAGTGGCCCAAAAAACAGGACGCAAGGTCCTACTGTGGTAGAATCAACAAGAGATTCGCACAAAAAACGTTTGATGTGAACAATGAGAGAGGGTCTCAAGGAAGCTGGGCACGTGAGCTTGGGAAACCATCCCGCATAACCATCCCGCGTCCCGAATCTCCGTGGATTGTTCCGTGATTCTCGCATTTGCTCAGAGGGGAGAGCTTGACGTACTCTCTAGGCGAAGAGCCTGTGCGACCTCTCTCCTGCGCCATGTGTGCGAAGTGAAGATGAGCCCGGCAGGCGTTCCTTAGGTCTTCGAACTGACAGTTAAAAATTCGTTGTAGTGTCCCACTAGGCCCCCGGGCGCTCGTTGGTGCAGGAAAATATCTGCAGCACCAACGACAACAAGTTTCAACAGAAAATGTCCGAGTCCTGTGTTAATAATACGCACAGAGTCTTCACAGCGTTCTACAGAGAGACCGAGCAGCGCGGAAAGAAGGAACAAGGTGGACAACATCCAAGCGTTCTAGTGATTTGCCGGCCGTAGGTGCTCCCAATAAGCTGAGCATCTTCTGTGGTCCCCAACACCGCATGTTGACGGGTTCCGCTCCTTATCGTGGAGTAGTGGAAAACCACATAGCATGGGGCTGAGCTTGTGTTTGTCATCGGACCCCACGGAAACCACCGAGAGCTTCAGCCATGGGGTCAAAATTCTGCTTACAACCGTGTGCAGGTTGCAGTGACCAATATCATAACATGTCAGTAGCATCATTTTTTGTCGCCACAGAAGGCTCTCTCTGTTTTTCTTTCGGCCGAAGACCGACGTCATTGTTGAAACTTGTCCGGCGACTCAATTAACTTTTCCAAGAAAGCGACTAAAAACCACAGTATACTTGGCACCGGGCGCGCATTAGTTCACGACCTTGGCTCCAACCTTTGAACCTTCAAAAAAAAACCCTGTGGGAGGAGGCCAAGTCCACCTGTCATCGAAACAAAGCATTTCTTCGGACAAACGAACGAAAAAAACACTCGAGTCCTCGTCCCCCGCTTCGACGCGCACAAATGCGCGCGGATCATCGCAAAGGATGGATGATCTCTTCCTTACCCCACATGCCAAGCCGGTCTGGCATACAGGTATCTATTGTGTGCTGTCTGCGGAGCCCCCTCTTGTTAACCCAATCGCCGCCAAGCCAAAGCGCAACCAAGAAGCAAGACGAAGGGATTCGGTGGTACACCAAGAAAGAAACGACGGGAGTTGCTGCCGTGCGGCCTCCTGTGCTGCAAGCGCTGCTTGAGGGAAACGCAAACCCGCCGTCGTTTGACGTTTCGAGCGAATCACTACAATACCCGCCGCCCAAACAACCCAATTCAAGGAAAAGAGAAAACTTCAGGGAAGCACCTTAGAAACGAACATGAAAACCGGAAGGATTTCTACAGCCTCTAACGCCAAGAAGGCTTCTTGCTGCCCCCCATGGTCGACTTGATGCCGGCGTCCCCCTGCCCCACAAGGTCAAGCAAAAGACTGTCCGTGTTGAGGAAGAGCTTGTTGTTCGACCTGATGCGACAAACAGGAGATGCAGCAGCAGCAACAGCAGCAACAGCAAGGGGAGGTGGTGGTAGTGCCCGACTTGAGAGGCTCCTGCGGCGAAACTGAACATCGAGGTGAATGTCTTCGCCCCCCCGTTGGCATGGCAACACGCAAGACTCGGCGACCACCAAGACCTCTCCAAAGCTCACGAAAATACCGAAGGGTGGGGTGGGGGGGGGGAGGGCAGAACTGCCACGGCCAAAACGTATCAAACAGCGACAAGCACGCCAAGCTTTTGGAGCGGGGCGGGGGGGGGTATTCATAGTCGTGCATGCCGCAGTCATTAGACCATTGACCTCGCATCCCTACAAAGCCGGGACGGAGCACGCCGGGTTCTCACCCGACCAGGCTCTACCACGCGTTTGGGGGGGTTCTATATCGAAGCAACGGTTCTCGTCGCTTCAAGTTGATTCTACATATTTACACAAGCATTCCATCAGCGGTTGCACTTGCCAAGTACGTCCGTGCACGCGAGAGAAAAAAAACATTATCTCCAAGAAAATTATGTTCACAAGTGATCCCTCCAGGGTGGCCTGACTCATGAGAGCACAGCAGTGTCATCAAGGAGTGACGCAAGGTCAAAACAGCGGCAGGCAGCAGAACCAACCCACAACTGGCTGACACCTGCCGTGGGACGTCTCCCAAGTTCACAAAACACTGACGTTTTTTTGGTGCTCAAACATCCCAGCGACCATCGACCAACCAAAAGAAATACAAATCTGTACAATATACAGTCTTGCGTGCTCGTACCTTGCCTTCATTTTCAACGTGCATCACCGCTAGTGCGGCAATACTGTTCTCTCATGGGTCCACTCCGGGGGGATTACTTGAACATATATAGAAGCATATGTTCGGAGAAAAAAGAAAAAATGAACAAACTGAATCTCCATTAAAGAAACGCAATGTACCACGTTCGTACCTTGCCACAGTGGACGCGATGTCCCTCGCCGCGTCAATGCGTCGGAGCTGGATGAACCCCGGGTTGTCCTTGATGGCCTCTCCGACCAGCTTGGCCGATTGCGCCTCTCCCTGTGCCTTGATCACAATGCTCATCTTTTTATCAGGGGAGGGGGAACGGCAGATATAGAGGAGGGTGCAAAGAGCAACGTTTGTTCCACGTTTGAGAACACTTCGGGGTGATACTTATACACCGCAGGAGGGGGTCCAACCCCCCCCTCCTATGTGACCCCGGTTGGGTCGTCTAGCTGGAACAATTGGAGGATAGGGGCCGGAGGGGCAGACGACAGAGTCCGATGATCGGAGAAAAAAAATATATATATGTATATATACACACCGCTATCTTGGTCATTTATCAGGGGAGAATATCGCGAATTCCGCAGGCAGCGGCAGCGGCAAAAATGTGACGTGGAGTTGGCGGGGCGGATCGGGCTACAATATTTTCTTCTACAAGTTCTGTGGCCCAACCAGGGGTTGTTCAGCAATCCACGTCTGCTGCATAATCGCCGCAAGATCGACCGCCGACAGCGAAACACATGCCCCGCCAGCAGCCTAGGCAGGTTTTCATTCAACAAACGTCTGGGCGAAAGTATGAAATCGGTTGAATTTCGGGAACCAAGTTTGGGGGATGGGGTCCACGTAACTCCTTCCTCTCAAACTCATAGATAAAACATAGTTTCGTTGCGGGGGCAGTCCTGCCCTCGCCACCACTACCACAGAAGGACATACCACACACGGCGACGACAACCCAGCTACCCTCGGTACCAGCTGGTCGCCGGCGTGAGGTGACCACACCGCAAAACACGCCAACCTCCTCCGGTTGCTTCGGTTCTCGGTCTTCGTTCCTCTGACTCCCCCAGCAAAGAACAAAACATGATTCCACAGTGCCCCNAAGCAACGAACACCCCCCCCCCCCCCCCCCCCCCCTCCCTTTTTCACCTTCTCCTGGCGAGCCTTCTCGACGACGTACTTGGAACGCTCGGAGTCTTGTTGGGCAACCTGTTGGGGGCAACCAGACGACGACGTGCGCGGGGTTGTTTTTTGCCTCGAGAAAAATCAAAGCTCAACCGAGTGGTAAAGGTATAGGGGCGGCCAAGAACAGAAGAGAAACGCGGCAATCAGGCGTGAGCGGGGTTACATGTGCTTCGCTTCGGAAAACCAACGCTCATCGAGCGGCCATGGTACAGGGGCGGCCAAGAACATAAAACAAGCGCAGCAGGTGAAGAGAACGAAGTGTTGAGCCGGCCTGTCCCGTGACCGTTCTCCAAGATGACACTACCGTCGTAATGAAGACGTACGTCACCACGGGATGACTTGGGAGACTTCGGAATCGAGGTTCGCACGGGGTTCGACAAAAAAAAATCGCCATTTTCTGTCAATGGCACCTATTTCGCCTCGACGAGGCTTTGAACTTTTCTGATTCTCAACAAAAAACCCGACAGCTTTTTTCCGTCTGTTTTGACAAAGATCATCGTGTCTATATCGCTGCGTTTGTCAGTCGATTGCTGTCTCACCTGCTTGGCCTCGACGGCAGCCGTGTACTCTCTGCTGAAGCTGAGGTGGGTGATCGCCGTGTCCTCCATCACGATGCCGAAGTCCCCCGCCCGCTTCTGCAGCGCGTCCCGGATGTTCTTGGACACGGCCTGCAAACGAAAAGAAATGAAACATGAAACAACATGAAATAACGACCACGGAAACGCCAGGATCGATGGATGTGGGCTAGTCAAAGGCGCAAGGCACGTCGTTGGAACGAGGACACCTGAAAAAAAACTGACACCGCAGGGAACAAACGCCTCGTGAACGTGGAATGAATGGACGCCAGGTCAAACACAACCAAGGCAGAAGACAAGTCTACCCCCCCCCCGTGTGTGATCACGAATCCTGCATATATTGCAGAATCTATCTCTGTCCCTGTCCCTCTCTTCTTCCTCTCGTACAAATCTAGTGCATGCTTTCCCTGGACTTCTCTATACTCCATCTGGACACCACGAGCCAACTAGCAGAGAGCACCGACCAGCCATAGAGCCAAATGCCAGGGACAACTTCACATATCTGTCTGCATTGGCGCTCTCTCCGTGTTATAAATGCAGGGGGGGGATCGCAGATTGGGAACGTCCGTGTGCGGGGGTCAAGCACAACGGCACGGCGTCCGCGTAATGGCATGCGGTTGACACTCAGGTCAATTGTTGTGGAATCCCGGACTTAAACTTTTCACATCCAAACACACATAGGGTCGCAGGAATTCTGCGCACTTTGTAGGAAAAGTACCCAGACCCGCTTTGGCACTCAGCACTCCCCTCACCGACACTTTTCCCAATCAAACCTTCGAGGCCGCACAGCAGTGCATGGCTGTGAGTCTCTTAAGAGCCAAGTTTGGGGAGCTGGGGTGTGCTTATCATGCTCGGTCAAAAAGGAATTCCAATTTGGAAATGATGGGACGATCCTGGTTGGAATTTTCCATGAATCCCCGACTGAAATTGGTTGAAATTCCTCACTGGGAATCGTGAATTGCTTTCATATCCGAGACTTACTCTGCGCACACTGCACTCTAGCTGCCCAAACTTGGCTACGAGAAGCTCAAAGTAGTGGAGTGTACAGCCTTTTCGGTTAGATATCAAACAGGGGTCTGTGGGGCGAGGACGAACCGACGAAGGGCCTTGGTGCTCTCTGCGGGCTATCCAGTACGCAGACCTCCTTCCTGCCTTTGAGGGGTGGTTGAGCATTTGTCTGTCGATCCCCCGGATTCTAAATCGGAAATACATCCACAACAACTTGCATCACCTCTCGTCCACGGTNGGGGGGGGGGGGGGGGGGGGGGGGGGGGGGGGGGGGGGGGGGGGGGGGGGGGGGGGGGGGGGGGGGCATCATAGATTGGGGACGTCCGTGTAGGGGGTCAAGTGCCAACACGGCGGTTGAGACTCAACTCACCTCTCGCTTGGTGAGGAGCTCGGAGGCGTTGTACTTAGCGACGACGGCCTTGGTCACCTCGTTCACGATGGACGGCAATACACGCTCGTCGTAGTCTGCTTGGTCGGTCCACGACGTGTCCGTACCCCAAGAAACGCACACACATACATACGAAACACCCAACAGGAGCAGCAGCAGCAGCAGCAACAGCAGCGGTAGCAACCACAACACAAACACAGCAGCAGCGACAAAAAGAGGTGGCAAAAGGATATGAGAAGCGAAGCGGAAGCCGTCCGAAACAGGGGTGCACCTGCGAAAAAAAAAAGAAGGAAGCGCTTGACGATCCGCTTCTTCTGCGGACATGGCGGAAGTCTACGCAAACGGTTTCCCGGACCATGCACGGCAGCAGCCATGGGACACGCATGCAAGTAACACAGCCAGGCACAACGTACAGAAAGCACGAAGTAGTGCGAGGCCCAAAGCAACAGTGCAGTCGGGTGCGCCAAAACACCGGGGGTGAAATTGGCTAGTACAGACCGAACAACAGGATGGTGAACGCACTGGATGGTGCGGGTGCCCGCTGTGGTTCGGGTGAAAAATGGCTGGCACTGATGGAATAACCAGGATGACTCAACCCGCAAAAAAAATGAGGGTGCCCGCTAAATTGTGGGTTACAAGCCTTTAACACATCCAAAGAGGGCACCCGGCGGCAGTGTCAGGATGCCCAGACATCTCAGCCGCAAGTCCTTCGTTTCGTAACGGCAGCTACAACTAGAGAGACAAGGAAAAGACGACAACGAGGACCACACTCACCCTTGCCCAACCTGCGGTAGATGAAGGGGAGCTTGAAGGGATCCGGCTTGGTCAGCACACGGAGCGTGATGCTCACCATTTGCAAGTCCTTCGACCCAGTTAGCGACTGGAAAGAAATTGGGGAGGGGGGGGCGGGGGGGGTACACTTTGAGTTTTGCATGCCTTCGCGGTTAGACCATTATTGACCACGCGTCCTCGAGAGGACGGAGCCTTGTTCCCACAGGACCGATCACCGATGGCCAATCGTTCCTTCCGATTTTGCCAAACGTTGCCCAAAAATGTCTATTATAGTTCATCCATCCTATCGGGGAGGGGAGGGGGGGGGTTCGTTGGCGACACGAGACGAAGCACAACTTGCAGGATTTGGGGTCAAGCCACAAGCATGCCACGATAAGAACTAAACCAGCCGTGGTAAAAATCCGCGATCGATTCACACGTCAACATTGATGGCAAAGGCAGGGCGCGACGTCTTGCAGACAAACAATCGAGATACGTCGCCGCAAGCTTTTCCCGACGCTGCATCTCGCAGCACTGTCGTGCCACACTCTGACGTCAAGCGTCGAACTCAACTGGACCTCTACTGTTTACTCGGTCTCTTTTTGAGACCAAAGCCCATGCAATGGCGGCATGGTCTTGCCCTAACCCCCACGTGTAGATGTCAAGGGCACGAAAAATTAACGGGCCTGACCCCTCACACGACCTTGTAGATTATTTCAACTATGCACGAATCTCATCCAGGCGCTAGTTGACGCTGGCCCGTGAACCAACCCCAAGAACAGAATAAGAAGGTTGCGGGGAGATGCCTCGAGAAAAGTCATCCCGCTCTCACGAAAGCTGTTCGTCACTTGCTCGGTATTGTCATATTGCACTCTTACGGCCNCCCCCCCCCCCCCCCCCCCCCCCTTCCAATGACTACGGCATGCTCTAACATGGGTACAACCGCCCCCTTCTTCAGTACCCTCCCCCCCTTTTCTTCACCTGAACGTTACGCGGCTTCGTGCGCACGTCGTAGATGTAAGGCCACTCGAACCAGGGGATGATGAAGTGCATCCCCTCCGTCATGACCCCCTCCTTCACCCCGCTCAGCCGGTTGAACACGATCGCACGGTGCCCGCCATCCACTGCTCAAGACGCCGATCCGGAATGGGGTACCAGCAAGTTAACAACACGCCGAGTGCTACGCACATCACGGTCCGAATACAGGAGTTGTGTTTCCCGATGTAGGGGGCTGCAGTACTTCGTTCGCGGTGATCGCTCCGAAATGCGAACACGGTTCAGTTGGCAACGCTAGCTCCGAGGGACCGAACTTCCTTCATGGCCACTCGGAGAAACGATAATAAGAGTGCCCTTAGACCGAGGCAAATTGTGTGCGGAGGCGACCAAGGCATTGGCTGGCTGCAGGGACGGTGGCGAACAGCAACCGCTTCACGCAACAGCGGCCATCGCCGAGGCCCCCACGCTAACGATGCCACCACCACACCCCAACACCACTTGATCACGCAACCGTTGGCCCTGCCTTTCCACTGGAGTCTTCCCCACTTCCAGCACCCCAACCCTAACGAGACTCCCAGCTTTTGAGGACGCCGTGGCGTCAAGATGCAAGGTGCCCCGGAGAACATAGGAAACGGGCGGCGAATGATTTAAGGACACTTCCCAACGTTGAGGACATTATTCTTGAGGAGGAGCAGACAGCGTCGTCCTGAAAACGAGAACAACTGTGCCACTACCAACAAACCTAACACCCCGAACAATATATCAACCCGGCATAGGCACCAACACCACAAGCGGACACACCGCCAAAATGGGAAAAGTTGTGTGTAGCAGCTCCACATAGACTTGGCCGCGTGCCTCTCGTCTGCGTGAGGAGCTCCGTTCAAGTTGCTGGGGGAGGGGGGGGGGGGGGGG